AATCCAGCAGTCACGCACGTTGTGTGTGTCCTGACGCATCATGAGTAGAATCATTGTGTGGTAGCACAGCAAGAAGAGGGGAGGGACAAAGAAAGGAGTGTGTGCGTGTGCGATCAGAGCCCGGCAACGTTGTCGCTCGGGCCTCTCCATGGTCTGTCACAAATACGTCACGAGGTGTTTTCCGACTCAGTGTCGAGTTAGTGCTGGCATGGATCATCACGTCTCTTTGCTTGGTTGGCGGCGTTGTTGCGCCTCGCACAGTGCAACAACACCGCGACCGTGAGGCGCGGGTGCCACATACGCATATGGGTGAGCGAGTGCTCGTGCGGTACTCCTGCCCGTGAACGCGGCAGAATCGCACCTCTTGGCCCAGAAGAACGACCTCCGCGAAGACTGAAAGCATACGCTTCACGTGGTAGCTGGTGGGCCTGCCGCGGTGTATTATGCGCTGGGGTTTTGTGTTACTTTTCTCTATTACTTCACTGGTGAGTTTGCTTGGAGAAGAGTACGGCGTGAAGGAATGTTGCAAAGGTACACCTCAAAAGTGTGACATCTCGGTATTTCAACGGAGAATAGTCACGATCGAAGTGAAGATTCGTGGAAAACATCCACAACCCCACCCCCACCAGTAGGCAGATACGTTCTTAGAATACTCACCAATGGTAACTATGTTCGTTTCGAATGTAACAGGTTACAGCCTTCGGTTCCCACAACTGCCAGCCGCCTGCGCGTGGACTGGGGCAGGGGATTTTCAGTGGTGGACAACATAAAGCGAGAAGCCACGTTTGCTGCCCTCCACTGTGGCTTGTGGAGGCCAAGGATCGAGCAATGAAGAGGTGGAGCAAAAACAAGAAAAAAAAAAAAAAGAAATGCGCTAATATTGACTGAAGCTCATCGTGACGCTCACTTCTCCCAAAATAGTCATTTGGCTTTTCTAGCCATTTCACTACATCCACCAGCCCATAGCCCCCCTCCCCCCCCCATTTTATTGTTTGTAAAATGTGTTTCAGGTTTAATAGAAAAAAAGCAGGAAGTGTTTTAGAGCAATTATACAAACATTCTACCCCTATTCCCAGTTTTTGTATTATCCTACTTTTTTTTTTGCCTAATCCTAATTACTGTTCCCTTATTGCGTCGCCGCTCTCCAATAGTGTAATTTCATCGTTTATTGGCTGTGAAGAGACATGCGTAAAGACGATAGAAGCAAGTACAAGTATCTGTTTGTTCCATATACATAATCCCTAGTTTTTCTGCAGCAATGTATATCCCTATAGTTTCATGTGTTCAAGTGGAATCGACAGGTCCTTTACAGGCAGCTTTCCTCCATGGATAAGGCTCTCTTTTTTCAGTGCTCCACTTTGCAGCTCCGCCTCCTGCTTCTTCACCAACTTTGGGCTAAGTTCATTACTTCCTGTTACAGTCACCTGCTGGCACATGCCAAGACGCCCAAAGCGATTGTTCTTAAGCGCCATCAGACATGAAGACTCACCATCTTTGTCCATATCCTTGTACTCAAGAAACGTCCACTTGGCAGTATGAGGAGAATTCATGGGAATAAGTGCAAGCCCCTTCGCAACAAGAGGAGCGATGTATTGTACATCGGGCGTTGCCCACGGCGTCGCGCCGAGGGTCTTTTCTACCTCCCTCACAATGGTTTCGTACTGCTTATTTCTCTGCTCCGAGTTGAACTCCCAGACGTGGGTGCAGCGTTTCGGGATGAGGGCTTCGTCAATGTACTGAATGCTAAAACGCTTGGTTGTCACCTTCCGCGAGGTTACCCCCTCCGGGTTATATATGTAAAGAAATTCACGGAAGTCTTCAAAGCGTCGCTGGGTGGCACGTCGATGGTACGCCTCCTCCTTCAGCAAGGCGTCATCAACCTCAATTTCCTCCTTCGGCACATGTTCATTGTACTTGTGCAGCATCTCATCATCAACAACCAACGGCATGATTGGTGGAAACCCTTCATCCATGGCCCGTAACCGGGCACGTTTCTCGCGCGTCATGCGAAGCACGACCACATAACGTTCCGTGGCAACCAAAAGAACTGCCACCGCCGCGCCAAGCACGATAACCAATTCGTAGGACTCGTACATCCACAACATCTCCCGCAATAAACTGCCACTCCGATTCTTCTTGGCATAATCGTCCCTTCGCCCCCTACGGTGCGACTGGCTACTGGTGTAATCGTCCCTACTTCTACGATTGCGCTCCGACCAAAAGGACTCTGGGTCGATTTTATCCGCCTTCTTCTCTCGCCATGCCGCACGCAACGCACGGTAGGCAGTGTTGATCTCGCGAAACTTTGCCGGATCCCCGTGTGGCATGTCCGGATGATAGTAACGCGTAAGCTCCTGGTAACGCGCCTTTATCTCCTCAAATGGGGCGCTTGCCGCCACGCCAAGCACCTCGTGGGGTGAAGCGGGGGAGGCATGAGCACTACCGGCGACACGAGAAGAGGATGATGACGCCGCCACGCGCAAAATGGCAATGCGACTATAAAACATTTCTCCCAATCACGCAAACGACGGTCACTGCGGGGCGACGCCCACGCCAATCCCGCCTTCCTCCACAGAGAGAGAAAAACTCGGTAGCAGCGGCAAACTAAAAAAAAAAAACGCCCCGGCAACTGCACAGTAACACGGTATTTGGTCCACCACCCCTCGCTCGTAGGAAGGTGTTCTTCACTCCACGCTACACCGCCCACGTAAAAGTGAAAGACAGGGAGGCAGAAATGGCAAAATAAGGTACTGGAGACAGCGCAAAACACACATACAAACACACTCATACACACACACACACAATGACATCCGTAACGGCGCAGACCCCCGCACCGCTTTCCGTCCTTTAGCCACTCAATATCTGACTCACACCAGACGCTCTACACATGCCCCCTTTTTTTCTGTAAAAAAAGTCAATGTATTTTTGTTTGTTTCCTCTCATTATTATTATCATCTTTATTATTAGTCTTTGTGTTTCTCATCAAAGCAGAGTTTGTGGCGATTGCCGCTCGCCTGGCCAGCCGCGCGGATCACCGCTTAGTATCTGAAGAGGCTGCTATTTTCCACTCTTTTCGTAATCCCGCGCTTTTGTTCTGAGCGTAGCGGTGCATACATCCTCCTAACCCGCGGCGCTGCAATACGTACAACACTCCCCGCATAACTTCTCCACACACGCTGCCAGCAGGGGGAGGAACACTTACAGAGAGAACACACATGACAGATGCCTCTCACTTATCTTTTCGTTACGGGATAAAACGCTTATTATTGAGGTTTCTCTTCACTCTCGCACTTGCGCACCGGCAACGATCGTAGAGGTTGTGAGAGGAAAATGAGAGGTGTGTGTATTTGTGCGTGTGTGTGGGGGGGAGGGGGGGTGGACTCCTAAGAGCGAGCAAGAGCTGGAGAACGCCGCGCCCATGCGTTTGACTCACCCTTACTTTCTATTATTATTATTGTTTTTTTTTTATTGTTCCTGTGTTCCGGTCCTTCACGCCTTGACAGCCACAACAGAACACAAAAATGAGGTACCAGGCACGCGGGGTGTGCAGGGTGCGTGACCCTCCCGCGGGTCTCTTCGCGTTACCGCTGGTGGTTCCTGGTCAATAACCCTCAGCGCCACCACCACCGAGTTGCTTTTCACGTGTTTCGTCACTCTAATTACCCCTCGTGCCCCTCGTGCGTGTGCGTGTGCATGCGGCGTTTTGTTGGAAACTGAATTCGTAAAAAAAACAAAAACGTCATTGACACCGATGCCACCGCCACACTCACCTAAGAAAAAACAACAGGGATACGAACAACCAAACTAAACGTTCATGAACAAAGAAGGGAGAAGGTTGTATTTCATTTTTTTCTTCTTTTCTTCCCGTCCTCTCTTTCGTTCGCACTATTCCGTTCACCAAAAATAAAAAAAAACAAAATAAAACAAAAAACAAAGAAAAATAAACACATTTTGGGGCCACAACGCACACGCACACGCACACACATACACATACATACCTACGGCGCTTAGAAAGCAATCATGAACTGTCCCATTCACCGCTTCTGTTCTCGCTCCCTTTTAAAAATACATATATGCATATATGTAGGCGTGCGTGTAATCCAAGACCCTCCCTCCCTCCCCCCAAACAAACAAAAAAAAAAGAAAATGAATAAAAATTGGTTTCCTCTCTCGTTTATCTTTGCTTCACTTTCTCCTTCTATTACATATATATATATATACACACACACACAGAGGAAGCACCCTCCTCTTGCAATGCCTGTTGATTCTTACTAGTTATGTCGTTTTTTTTTGTGTTGCCGTTTTACACACAAAGCAGAAGCAAAAAAAAAACAAAAAAAAAGGGTGAAGAGGAAAACAGAGATGGGCGTATATAACTTGTTGTTTGCCTGGAAATAAATGCACTGAGCAACCAAATATTGGCCACACCATTTTTGGCTCGCTCCCACATTTCCCAGTAGTTCCCCTCTTCCCCCCTTTCCTCTTATGCCTAACAGATGCGTGCTGTTGTGGTGCTCAAAAACCCCCATCGTCCACGTTGGCAGCGTTCTGAGACCGACCGGTGCCCCTTGCGCGGCCGCGCGAAGGTGCAGACTCGCCCCACGTGGAGTTTGACAGCGTTGGGGCCGCGTGATGGCTGTCGCCACCGCCACGTCTCCCGCCACCACCGCGTCCACGGCTCGCGCCAAGAAACCGTTCCCCCTCCACGTTCTCTTTCTCCTCCTCAAACCAGAAGGGAACATCCTGCTCGTGCTCCTTTAGGTAATTGTACAGGTCCAATGTGAGATTGCGGTTGTTCTTGTTGTAGAAGGAGGTGGCTGTGCCCTTGTTGCCAGCACGTCCAGTGCGCCCAATGCGGTGCGTGTAATCGTCCATCTCCTTTGGGAGATCGTACTGGATAACATGCGCAACATTTGGAATATCAAGACCACGCGAAGCAACATCTGTGGCAACCAGAATTGGTGTAACGCCATCCTTGAAGTCGCGTAAGGCACGTTCACGATCAAACTGTTTGCGGTCGCCATGAATGGTGGCGCTTGGAATGCCCTCACTCTTAAGAGCGTAATGAAGGTCCTCGGCGGAGCGCTTGGTTTCCACAAACACCAAGACAAGATCGGTTTGCTTCTGCTGGTAGATCACCTCAAACAGCTTGTCCATTTTTTCGGACTCCTGCACACGCTCAATCCGCTGCGTGATATTCTTCGTCGTCGAGCCAACGCGACCAACCGTAAGAAGGTAGTAGTGCTGACGGAGATAACGTTTCGCGAGGTTCAAAATACGCTGCGGGAACGTCGCGCTGAACATGAGTGTCTGTCGGTCCGTGGTCTTTGGCATGTCCGTATAGCGCGAGGCGACAAGATACTCAATCTGCTCCTCAAACCCCATCTCCAGCATGCGATCGGCCTCGTCCAGGATGAGAAACATTACCCGGCTGAAAGAGACAATTCCACGATCAAAAATATCCTTTAAGCGTCCTGGGCAGGCAACAAGAATGTCATTTTCAAAGCGTGTTGGGTACGGTGTTCCTCCGTACACCACGTCGTGGAAGATATCGGTGCGAAACGTCAGTTTACGAACCTCATCGTAAATCTGTAACGCCAATTCACGCGTGGGGGCCATAATGACAGCAATAGGGTAACTAACACGGTTCCGAGCGGGGGATACACCGTGTTTAAGGATGTAATGGACGACAGGAACGAGAAAGGCCGCCGTCTTTCCTGAGCCCGTCTGAGCACACGCCATCAAGTCATCACCGTTGAGGCAGACCGGAATGCCATAACGCTGCACAGGTGTAGGTTGTTTATACCCACACTTGGCAATGTTCAAGGAGAGAGCAGGCTCCACAAAAAGGTCCTCAAAACTTTCCACAGGTTCAATATTATTGGGAATGATGTCAACCGGAATGTTGGCATAGTTGTCCAGGGAAATGCCCTTCTGTTGATGATGATGCTCAAAGAGCTGTTCTATTTCCCTCTCGTCGTAGCAATTCTTCCTCAAATGTGGCGCACGTTGTGTGCGACTAGGGTTAGTCGAAATTGGATCCTCCGAGACGTGTTGCCGCTGAGGTTGTTCCTGTGTCTGTGGCTGTGTTCGCTGTTGCGGCTGACCCCCTTCCTCGTCCTCCCTGGAGTAGTCCCCCCTGCCACGGCCGCCGCGATCGCGTCCCCGTCCACGTGGACGCTCGTAGTCACCATCAAAACGGCCTTGTTGTGTGGGTGGCCTTTGTTGTTGCTGCTGCTGGTACTGCTGTTGTTCTTGTTGTTGCTGCTCCTCTGAGAATTGTTGTAACTGTGGCGGCTCGGCGTCGTCTGTCGTTTCTTGCGTCCGACGCGGACCCCTTTCCTCAAACTCGCGCTCGTCCTCAAAGGAACGGCCGCCGCGACCGCCGCGACCACGTTCTTTGTGCCCCCTTTTGCCGTCGTAGTTGTATCCACTGCTGCGACGAATTTCCGGCTGTTCGTTCCCACCTTCACACGCACTCTCGCCCTGTCGCCAGTTGGACCACTGCTCCTTCCGTGCACCGGAACCATAGTTACGAGAGCCACGGCCACCTCCGCCACGCTGATTATAATTATATCCGCTGCGGTTGCCTCGTGGCCAACCACCACCACCGCCGCTGCCGGGTCCTTCTTCACCCTCGAGTTCACCGCCGCCGTTGCCGCCGCCGCCGCCGCCGCCGCCGCGCCACGCAAACCGCTCATTTACTTTCTCGCGTTCGTTCTCACCGCGGCGCCACTCGTTATCGCGTTCATAAAATCCTCGTCCCTTTCCTCGTCCCCTTTCCCGGGACCGACCTCCTCTCCATGGCTCCCCAGCAGAGTTCAGTGCCCCGCCGTGTTCATCTGTGTTGAAATCACGAGCTGGACTCTCACTGGTGTTGCCGTTCTTCTCTGTCTGAGGAAAACTCATATAACGAAGGCTTTTTTAATTTCTTACCTACTCAATGCGTACAGGTTGCGTATATTATTGTGTATTTAAAAAACAAGGTAATTGCAAATTTAAATTAAAAAAAAAACAATAAAAGAAGAGAAAATATAAAGTAAACTTCGAGCAAAGCAGAATATCATCCTTCTGCACATACCTCCACACACATGCGTGTATGGATGTGTGCAAAAGAGCAGTCACCATGAACAGTGAGATAAAAAAACGGGAGTGGAACACGCACCTGTTCCCCCTCCTTACCGGTAAAATACTTAGCATTGCGGGGAAGAGAGAGCAAAGATGGTATGCTCTTTCTTTCTTGTACTTTGGAGAGGTACCCTCACACTGCATACGATGTTTTGCTCTTCTGTTCAAGTTCCCTCCAGAGCGGATAAATCAGAAAAACGCCCGCCAACGCCGTCACCAACCCAAAGCTATAAAACAACGTTGACCAGGAACTAGTGCTCAGCACAACTGTGAAGACACCTTGAAAGATGGATCCCACTGATCCGACACCGCCCACCACGCCGCTGATAGCTCCTGCGTGATTGGCCATCTGGATTTGCTCCAGGTAGTCCAAAAGAAAGGAACCTGAGAGTAGCGCATCTATAGCAAAGGCAAAAAACCCAACAATACCGGTCACCGCTGCAAAGAGCAAAGCTCTTTCCGCAAATAGGTTGGAAAAAATGGCAAAAGACAAGGTACCAAGCACCATACCAACAGTAAAGAGCAAAACAACACGCGTGCGTCCACGGCCATGAAACATCCAGTCCGAGATGTACCCCGATGTTACAGTGCCAACGACTCCACCAATGTCAAAGGCAGACGTCAGATACCCGGCAATCTCGGTGGTATATTTTAATTCCTGCACAGCGAAATACGGAAGCCAAAACATGAAGCCGTAGCGCACAAGTTTGTGCAGGAAATACGATGCGCAAATATCACGCACACCTGGAAGCTGAATGATGCTATACAATGTGAGAGAACCAGACTCTTTATGGAGCTCGTTCTCATTCTGCTGAAGTGGGTCATGCTGCTGAACCGGCAAACCCGTTGGTTGCAGCAAAGTCCCATTATACACTTCACCGTCTTTGCTCAGAGGAAATGAGTGATTAATACTTGTCCATCTTGTGGGTTGCTCGCCTCCTTCAATCTGCTGCACCGAAGGGAAACCAACCAAATTCGGATGTTGAACAAGCAGCAACAAGACAACACCACCCACTGCCAAAATAATCGCTGCTTCAGACGCAACCGCCACACGCCACGAAAACCCCTTTCCGATAAGAAAGGCGGGAAATATATTTCCAATCAGGCCCCCCACCGCCATGTTTGTTGACCACCACCCCATTACTCTACCACGTTCGTTGGGAAAGACCCACACATTCATTATTGAAAGGCATGTTGCCCACCCAGCTGCTTGTGCAATGCCGTTAATGGTCCACGCCAGGCAAAAAACCGGGAGCGTGGACGCGAGCGCTAGACACACCAAAGCCGTTGCAGACAAGAGGATACCATAAAAGAGAATTTGCTTATTCCCCCAATATTCGCTAATGCGCCCATATAGCAACTGGCCATTGGTATACGAGAAGACAAACACACAGTCTACAAGTGAGGTTTCTGCCGGGGTGAATCCAGTGTCATGCTGTATATTGGCTCGTGCTACACTCAAGGGCCGACGAACTACGGTGTAGGTGGCGTACGTGATCCACAGTGTGAGAAAGACGCGGAAGAAGCGAATCTCTTTGTACTCCCTAAACATTATACAGGGCGTGGCGTCAACAGACACACAGGTTTCGTATATATATATATATATATACTCTCCCTCCTCTTTCCCACACGGTTAATAAAGTGGCTTCAGAGAGAAGGAAAAACGTGTGCTGCCTCCCTCCCTCCTTCTTCAATGTACAAATATGTGTGTGCTCAGTTCCCTCCAAACTTCTGCACACACAGCAAGGGAGACCAAGAAGAGGTATGAGCGACACAAAATTCTCGCCCCACCCTTTCCCCCCTCCAGCACGTTTTTGTTTATTCCTACTACCAGCAGCCAGAGAAGGCAACACAAACAAAGTAACGCACGTTTTTTTTTTT